AAGATCGTAATGTGTGAGCAGCAGGTCCAAACTGAGCATTGAGTTGAGTTGACAGAAGGCCGCCTCGCACTCGCTACGCTAAACCCAATGTACGTCCTTTCCAAGTAATTGATTCAGTGATGTTCGGACGTTGTACGTGGACGGTAGAAAAGCCGAGTAATAGCTGATTACTCCCAAGAAGTAGCGCAGTAAGGAAACATTTTTGGGAGTCGGTATGTGTTGAATGGCGCGGATATTCTCAGGGTCCGGATGCCGGCCAGAACCGTCAAAGATGAAACCCAGGTACTTGACAGAAGTCAGGAATAACTGGCATCTTTCTTGGCGAAATCTGAGTCCGTTGTCGTGAATCCGTTGGAGGACTTCTTCAATCCGCTTGCGTAACTCATCTTGCGAACTAACTACGATTAATGGGCCGTCAAGGTATGCTGCCACTCCAGGAATGCCGGCCAGAATGCTGTCCATAAGCTGTTGAAAAATAGCAGGAGCGGTATTGACTTCGAAGGGTAGGCGGTTATACTGAAATAAACCTCGATGTGTATCAATGTTCAGCAGCAGACGGGACTCTAGAGCGACTTCTAGTTGTAGATATGCATCGGCCAGATCGAGTTTTGCGAAGTATCTTCCGCCACTCATAATTGTGAATAGGTCCTCTGGGGCTGGTAGTGGTGCGGTTCCAGGGCTGCATTTAGACCAGTGGAGAAGTCTGCGCATATCCGGATTGAACCATTGGCCTTCTTTACCACAACGATTGGGACCGTCCAGGCTGAATATGAGACCGGTTATGGGAAGTCTTCGTGTTCGAGAAGTTCTAACTCATCGTCGACAAGGGGTAATGAGGCTTATGGAACCGGTCTTTCTGGACGGAAGACCGGTTTGGCGTCCGGCAATAGGCGTAGAGTGGTCTGTGGCGTAGAACAGCGTCGTTATATAGGTTGAAAAAGGCCAATAACAAAAAGGGAATGGGTCATCGCTGCACACGGGCCTTCATGCACGCACTCTCGCTCTGAGCGGCTGTCAATCCAATACATTTCAATAGATGGAAGATTAAAGCTGCATCCTGGGATGCGAGAGTGGGGTTGTCTGATTTGGCTCTTGAACTAAGCTTTGTGTGATGGTGGCGGCGCCATCCACTCCTGTTAGAAGACGATGATTGTCAATATCCCCATGTGATCTCGTCGAGACCGAGGGTCTACAGCTTGCCTTCCGGTGTTCGGTAATTCGTACACGCCTCATGGAAACGCCTGCACATGGGCATGCACAAGGCCCTCATGAAAGTTTGTGCACATCGAAGATGACACTGAAATACCTTGAAGGTGCAGCTACATGGCATGGGATTTCGACTGTCATCTCTTCCATTAATATATTGCAAGTCCGAATGGCTCACTAGTTCATTTGTTGGACTAACGTGAATTCATCAAAAAAATTAATTTGTACTTATTTTGATAACCCATTAATAATTTTGTGCTATTGTGTGAAGGTCACAGCCCTGTGTTTGGTGTCAGGAAGAAATGTCTAATCTTGGGTAAAATGCCGTAGTTTCAGGCTAAGTTCCTGTGCTTAAAGCTCACAGCTGTTGTGGTCCAGAGACTCGTGAATTTCAATACGTTAGGCGTGAGATGTGCTTACACGACCTCACTTCAATGTGACTGCAAAGTCTCGCATCTCTGCATGTAGAGTACTACACCAAACCACACCAACTACTTTGACCGGGTTCAAGACGTCATACTGGAGCTGGATTGCTTCTCCATTTCCAAGCCTACATTGCGTTTGTGGTAGAATAGTTGTTTGTTTCCCATGTTGCACTTTAACTGCATGAAGCTAATTGGGTTCGTTTCAGAACGTCAACCACTCCCTGCAATGTACTGCCCTCCCATTCACATCTGAGCAATTAATCCATCCAATTCTTCATTTCACTTCTCTCATTTGACCGCCAATGATTAAAATACCAGAAAACCTTGCCACCATTCTCACGCCTGCTAACAATCCACGGTTGCTGGGTCATTTCTTCATTGTCAAGCCTACATTGCGTTCGCGATAAAATATTTGTTTGTTTATTAAAAGTGCACTTAACCTGCATGTACTACACCTTGCTGCCTTCTGGACAGCTACTAAAAATCCACGGTTTCCACTCAGTGAATTGAGTTATTGTCACATAAGTCGGGCATTGCACGTTGACCTCGATTTCGTCTAAAAACACGACCCGTTCCGAGGTGTTCTGTTTCAACTTCTCAGGCGTTCTGTGCGACACTTTGGCCGATTTCGGCAAGCAACGCAGAACCTTTAGTCATTGGCTAATAGTTGCACCGGTAGATTGTTGCCAATGTAGGTTTGGTGGAATCCATCCTTTTAGCAGAATTGGCTTTTGTTTCGACTTTGATTTGTTTGTGGGTTGAGATGATTCGGTCCTGAAATCAGCCACGAGAATGGTTTTGTGTGTGGACTGGTTGAGTTGCAACAAAGCCGTGTTTTAATGTATTGCGAATTTTCGCCTCTGCGCGTGGCAGTCAAACAGCTTCGTGCTTGTCTTCTCGTTCATGGACCCACGCCCACACAGTCCCACTGAGAGCCACCTACCCACGCATAACTCCCAAGTAGTTCTTCAAAATCGTAAGCAACTTGCGCTGAAAGCTAAGCACTGGGACCACTCGTCGGGCAATAGGTTCACCCCTGCTTTGTTGACAATCGTGTTCGAATAACGCGTATACCATGATGTCTCCAATTAATCAAGCACACCACTGAGCTTACGATTTCACTTAGGGTGATATCACGTACGGTTATAGGAGAACTATCTCAGCTTAAAAATGGCTAAGCAAGTTGCCGAATTTTCGCATTGACCTCTAACCTCAATTGAATAAATTGTTAGCCAGTTTGAAGTAGCTGGGTATCTGAAGGTTGAGCAAGAATGCGAAGCGGTTGTGCACGAATTGTGGGGTCGGTTGAGAATGCCGAGGATCCGTAACAAACCCACATGTGTGGATTATTACGCTCGCGCTGCATGCACAAGAACACACGACTAAGGCTAGTGTCTTCGTCGCCTCTGGCATTCCTGGTCACTTCGAATGTCTGAACTGTGGTACCAGGCGTCATGAAATATATCTGACACGCTTATTTGATCGATTGCAATAACCCGTGCTTGCCGTAGTTGATACAAACTTCCAAGCTTCACGCCAGTATCCTAGCATATCCACCTCAATGAATCCACGTAGTCAGGGCATTCGGAGTGCTTTCTGGAGGAAAATTAACTAGGTTTGTCAGTTGCCACTGAGGTTAGAAAACACGAATCCATCCATGAGCTGGAATGATTTGCTGGGTGGACATTTGTTTCATGTTTATTTGATAAATTAATAACCACTGCTGACAGATGGGTAAGTACCTACTTCATAGCGAGTTGATCACAGCTAACGAGAAGCTGGCAATG